GGTGTCTCACAGATCCATTAGACTCTGTTTGCTTTTCTTTGATCTTTTTTCTTCCTGTTCCTCAGACTCAGTAATTTCCATTGTCCTATCTTTATGGTTACTGGTTCTTTCTTCTACTTGTTCAAATCTGCCGTTGAATCCCTTTAGTGAATTTTTCATTGCAGTTATTTTACTTTTCATCTCCAAAATTTCTTTTGGGGTTCTCTTTCTCTTTATTGATATTTCCATTTTGTTCACACATTATTTTCTTGACGTTTATACAAATCTTGAGTTTTTTGAGCATGTTTAAGACCGTTGTTTTGAAGTCTGTCTAGTATATCTGCCATCAGGTCTTTATCAAGGACAGTTTCTACTGATTTATTTTTTCCTTGAATGAGCCATACTTTCCTGTTTGTATGCTATGTGATTTTTTGTTGAACAGTGGACATTTGAATCTAATTATGAGATAACTCTGGAAATCAGATTCTCCTGTTTCCCCAGAGTTTGCCGTTTTTATTGTTTTTGTTGATTGTTTTTGTTTTTTTTATTGATGTAGACTGTGTTTCTGCCAAAGTCAGCCTGAAGTGTAAACTTAAGGTCTTCTTGGGTTTTTTTGAGCCTTTCCTTGGGTATGTGTAATCACTTTCTAATTTTCTGCATATACGCAGTCGTTTTTGAATGTTCTAGTGTTTAGTGTCTGGCTCCTGAAAGAAGGAAAAAACAAAACATCAAAGGGGGGACTAAAAGGGTGCCAGCCCTTTAAATCTCCTAGAAGTCAGTCCAGCCAAAAGAGAGGTACTTGCAACAAGGGACGGGGATGCAACAACCATGGCTGCCCACCTCTTGGCACCTTAGAAGCAACAGTCAGCATTCAGAGCACTAATCCTCAATATTTGGAGGACAGGGTCCTTTTTGCCTATCCTAGCTCCCACAAACTGTGTGTAAGCGACTCTAGGAACAGGGGCACAGCTGCTTGCCCTGTGGCTGGGGTACGGGATGAGTGGCTGCCACTGTGCTAAGAGCTGAAATTGACCAAAATGAACTGCAATTTATCTTCCAAGCCTTCCCCTGGAAGTTACAAGCCTTCAATAGTCTCTAGAGTTCCGAAATAGTTACATCGGACAGATTCTGCCAGTGCAGTTGTTGTCTAGGTGGGGAGACAGAGTCATGGTGCTTCCTGCCCCATCATCTTCCTAGAATCCTCTCCTTACCTTTTTTCATTTTTTTTGCCTTGTTGGTTATTTAAAAATCAGTAAATTTAAAATTGGTAAGCTTTTGTGAATGGAAATAACTGTATCACAGAAAGTTATAATTCTCACAGCTGTTTCCAACACAGTGCTGCTGAAAAAGGCCTTAAGGAAAGCGTGGGTCCCATCACTTAACTAAAACTTGACCCTTTCATCTGACTAAAGAAACATATGATGTCTCAATCATTTGAGACATTGAGATTAAATTTGTTATACGGAATACCTCAAATCTAATTTAATTTCTAAATAAGCAAAAATGTGAAAAAGTTTCTACTTTGTTGTAACAGATGACATGCAACAAATATATCTCAAAACTGGCTGCGACTCTGTGGTTGAGAAAGGCTGGTCCTCAGAGGATGAAACTAAATAGATAAATTACCTACCCCAACACACCTAACATGTAATGATGGAACAAACATAGGATAACAGCCATAGATGTTCTGGTTCAAACAGGAGGGAAATTAAAGATAAAAAGAAGTCACTGGCCAATGGCAGTTCTGCTATCTGTCAGGCAAATGGTGGGAATCTCTTGACTAGGTTTCAAGGGCTGGGAATACTTCTCCATGGGTTTCAACTTCGCCCTCTTGGTTCTTGGTTCTTTTGTTTTTCACAAAAGGCAGCACGTGTTTGTAGCTGAGTAGTTTTATCAACCTGCTCCCTGCAAATAAAATTTGGGGGATCCAACAGCCTCCTTTCATTTTGTACCATTTCTGTCCCTTTTGTTCCAAGTTGGCAGTGTTTCTGCTGAAACAAACTTCTGAAAAACTTACAAGTCTTCGGTGGATTTCGCTAGAATTTACTCCATTAGAAAAAAGACACATTCACACATCTTTTCAAAATAATCCATTTTCTATCTCAGGTTCATGTTAAGATGGCTGAGGGGCAATACCTTTACAGGCTCTCTAGTTTGATTCAAAGGATCTGTGAGACATGCCCTCAATCATCCGAAAGGGACCTTTGTGTGACTGAATAATCTCAGCTTCTGGTCTTTCTGAGGTTTTAGCAAGAGGTTGTGTAGTCACACTTGCAACGTTTTCTATCCACCCTGCTTTCCTGACATTTAATTTTAGTGTCTTGCCATCTGTGGAGTCAGAATTTCTTAAATCAAGTCTTATTTCCTTTTTACTTAACAGTTCTTATCTCAATTTCTCTCTCTCTCCCGGATTTTACTGTAAGTGGCAAGAAGAAACCAAGTGGTACTTTCAAAACATTGCTTGGAAGTCTCTTGAACTGTGTATCCAAGCTTGTTGCTTACAAGTGCTGCTTCCCACATAACTGCAGGATACAGTTTCACTAAGCTTTCTGCCAACAGAACAAGGATCTCCCTTCCTCTGGTTTCTGGTAACATGTTCCTCATTTCCTTCTGAGCTCTCACCAGCAGCATCTGTAAAGTCCAGATTTCTACTGATAATCTGTTCAAGGAATTTTAGGCTTTTTCTCTCATGCTACCCAAATTCTTCCAGTCTCCTCTCACTATTCAGTTCCAAAGCCACTCACACATTTTAGATATTTGTTGTAGCAGCACCCCACTTCCAGGTACCAAACTCTATATTAGTTTTCAACTGTTGTGTAACAAATCACTACAAATTTAGTGGCTTAAAACAACAAACATTTGCTATCTCATGCTTTCCGTGGGTCAGGTGTCCAGGCTCAACTTAGCTGAGTCCTCTGCTCTTGGTCTCTCAATGCTGAAATCAAGGTTATCAGCTCGGCTGCATTTTCACATGGAGGCTTGAGTCTAGGGAAGAATCTGCTTTCAAGCTCATTCAGGTTGTTGGTGGAACTCATTTCCTTGCAGCTGCATGTAAGGACCCCGGGTTCTTACTGGCTGTGAGCTGGAGGCCTTAGGTCCACATTGGTCCCCTGCCGTGTGGCTCTCTCACAGGCCCTCTCTGAGTATGGCAGCTCATTTCTTCAAGACCAGCAGCAGAATCCTCACCCCAGTGTGCTAAGACTGAGTCTCGGGTAACGTAAGATGATCGTGGGAGTGACGTCCTATCACCTTTGCCTTTTTCTGTTGATCAGAAGTCACAGGTTCTGCCTGCATCGAGGGGAGTACAAGAGTGTGACTCATTTGGAGTCACCTTAGGGCATGCACCCCAAAGTTGTATAGTAGGCTGAATAACGTCCCCCAGAGATATCAGGTTATAATCCTTGGAAACTGTAAATGTTACCTTATTTGGTGAAAAAAAAAAAAAGGGACTTTGAAGTTGTAATTAAGATAGAGATCTTGAGATAAGGGGATTATCCTGGATTATCTGGGTGGCGCTAAATGCAATCACCTGTATCCTAAGAAAGAGGCAGAGGGAGATTAGACACATACACAGAGGAGAATCCCATGTGCAGACAGAGCACAGAGAAATTTGAAGGTGCTTAAATTGTGAAGGCCCTGATTGAAGATTGAAGTGATGCAGCCATGGCCGAGGAATGCTGCCAGCCACCAGAAGCTAGGAACAGACTCTCCCCTAGTGCCGCTGTAGGGAGTGTGGCCCTGCTCACACCTTAATTTCTGCCCAGTGATACTGATTTTGCTCTTATGGCCTCCAAAACGAAGAATAGATTTCTGCTGTTTTCAGCCACCTACAGCAGCCACAGGAAACTAGTACAGATGGATATTGATACCTCAGTGTTGCTTTTTTAATGCATTTCACTGATTACTCAGTGATGTTAAGTATGTTTTCATAAGATTATTGATTGTCCAAGTGTTTTCTTCTATGAGTTTTTCAACTTGTGTCCTTGGTCTCCTTTTTTGTTTTTTTGTGGTTTTTTTTGGTGAGGAGGATTAGGCCTGAGCCAACATCTGTTGCCAATCCTCCTCTTTTTTTCTTTTTTCTTTTTTTTGCTGAGGAAGGTTGGCCCTGGGCTAACATCCATGCCCATCCTCCTCTACTTTATATGTGAGACGCCTGCCACAGAATGGCTTTATAAGCAGTGTGTAGGTCTGCGTCTGGGATCCAAACCTGCAAACCCCAGGCCACCGAAACGGAGTGCACAAACTTAACCACTATGCAACTGGGCCGGCCCCCTTTGTCTCCTTCTTTTTAAATTCACTTTCTTATTGATTGGTAGGAATTCTTTACATAGTCTAACTACTAATCCTATGTCAGTTTCCATATTCCTGAAGAGATGTTTATCTTCTAATCTGTAGCTTATCTTTCTACCTTATTCATGGTATCTTCTACATTCAGAAGATTTTTTTTCACCTTTTTTAATTATGGAAATTTTTAGACATACTCAAGAGAGAATAGTGTCATAAATCTTCCATGTACCCATCACTCAGCTTCAACAATTATTAGTATTTTTCCCAGAAGTATTCATCTTTTCCTTTAAGTTTTGTAATATTTGTGCATTATCTAAGAAATCCTTAAATAATGATTGTGTTGCTAGTATTTATGTGGCTATTTCTGTCTTGATAAAACACTCATTCTTTTTGTCATAACACTTGTTCTTTTTTTACTTTAACTTTTATATAAATGTTACCTTATGTGTAGTAAGTTCTAATATATACAAAGTAGTACTGCACCTAAACCTTCTTCCTGAACAACATGTACTTTTCTTATTCAGCACCAGCTATTGATTCGGATCTTGGGAACTCGCCAGTTGTCGCAGCAACATCGTATGTGTCACCATAGAGCTTGTTGAAAATCCCATGTGTCCTTGTAAGAAGGCTAATCAATCATTCAGGAGATGTCAAAATATAAGCCTGAGTCAGCTGTGCTGGCATTTTTGTTTTTCCAAAGTAATTCCTCTCAATTTTTTCCCCTTTATTTCTAGTGTGCCACCTGGGCTTGAAGGCATGAAAGAACAAGACCTCTGCAACAAGATAATGGCTAAAATACTGGAGAATTACAATACCCTCTTTGAAGTGGAATATACAGAAAATGATAACCAGAGGTGTGAAAGCCGGGCCAGGCTTATCATAGTAAAAGTAAGTAACTTTGGTACTTAATCTTCAGTAAAGTACCAAATTTGTGATTGATGGTTCCTTGCTGCTATAAAAATTCTCTCTAAAGCACTTATATGAGCCCAGTGCTGTGGTCGATTGGGCGTGCCACCTTTTTATGAAAGCCTGGTTACAGCAGAGATACATGCTGATGGCTGTGTTAAGGAGTGCTAACTTACTGACTAGGTTGCAAATTCCTGAAGATAATATTACTGTGTCTTTCTGTCTCTCTTGTGTCTGGCACACTTTCAAATTCAACATCAGATTTTAAGTCCCATATAGGTAGTCCTTGGTAACTATCATCAGTGAAGGAGAGTCTTTTAAAAACCTATAGAGTCCTGGACAATACTATCTAAATCTTTTTATACGTTGGCTGATAATTTATAACATGAATGCATTATTAGGTGAATGCATATAGATCTCTAGAGACTTACAGTTGAGAGTCAGAGGATAAACGTCCAAACCAAGTCCTCCAGATGTGGGAAAAGAGAGAAAGTGTCTTATTTCTTGCTCATTTGTATTGAGGTAAAGCATAATGGAACTGATACGGGAGGTTTCCTCAGGAGGTGTCCTGAGACTTATCAGATTTACAGACCGCACTATACTCTTGTTGATTCATATGGCAATGAATGATAAAACCAGAGGCACTTGGTTTGGGCATTGAAGGAGTGTTTTCATCTCTTCCAGTGGAGGCCATGACTTTGAAGAAGAAATAAAAGGTAATGGGTATCAAGTAGCACCCTACCAAAACAGTGAAAGAAGACCCAAACTAGGTTTTCTTAATTAGGGCTTACGCTATTAATACAACAGACTCCCTATGAGGGAGAGAACATCTGAGAGGAATGCTTTTAGCAGGAATCTTGCCAACCTGATAAAGAGAACCTTAAAATGAAATTTGAGGGAAGGGAAGAACAATGCTCAGATAAAATGATAAAATGAGATACTTGGGAGAATATCAAGTGTAACCTAAGGTGGAGGTAACATGGTAGCTGAGAAAATGTCAGTGATTCACAAGAGAAAATAAGAAAAAAAACCTCTCTTATATTAGTTTTGCTCCCCCCCAAATTAAAATACGTTATTTTTTAAATGGAAAAAAATCTACCTTAAGTTTGTACTTTGCAAAGGGTCTCTTTTTAAAATATTAAAAAATGGTTGACTTTGTTCCAGCTGTACCTTTGATAGGCACTTTTTAACACTTGTGCCTTTTAACAGGGGCTGATAAGATAATAAGGTAAACCTAAAATATAAAGAAAGTATTTAGATAGATACTAGATAAATATGATCTCCTAGGCAAGAGATACCTGCTGAGATACAGACAGTTGGTGGAATACGCATGGGAGGTTATATGCTGTGCAAGTAAAATAACACCTGTTGAGCTGTGTGGACGAGTGCCCTGCGTGGACGTGCTTGAGCTACTAGCCTAAGCACGGTGGAGAACACAGCATGAGAGGACAAGGCAAGACACACAAACTGATAATACTGTTGGGAGCCAAGTACAGGAGTCTTAGGTGGATGAGTATGACTGCTACTCTCCTGATGCAAGTCTCATATCTGGCCTAGAGTCAGACAGATGTCCTGATTGGAAACTACGTGTCTGTACTCTGAAGCATCATTCTGCTAATATTTGGTGCATTTTTCATATTGATCTTGCTGATAGTCTCATTTCTGAGATGGTAGATAATGCAACAGGGGAATGTGATTTTCTGGACTTAGTTATAACTAATATGGATGAAATGGAAGTTATGGAAATCATTTTAATGAGTTGTGCCAGTGCCATTTTAGAGTCCATAATAACGAAGAATATGCTAGTCACAGGTAGATATGTAAACCTGGACATTGTTTAGAAAGCAAATTTTTTTTTTAAATTCCTAAGGTCATAGAAATGTTAGAGATAAACCAAAAGGCAGCTGGATTAAAAAGGATGTGGGAGGCTCACAATGAAATCATTAACAGATAGAAAAGTAGTAAAAATGGAAGGGTAACTAAAAAAACCAAATTCTCATTCTGATCATTCTCATGAGCTCAGCTTTTAGAAGGATGTGTACCAAAAGAGGAAACAGGCACAAAACAAGTGATAAATACACAAGAGTGACCAAGACATAAAACGTCTGAGCTGAAAAGAGCTTAGGCTCATGAAAACTTCTGAGATATAGAAAACAACTTTTAAGAGGAAAAAAGACTAAATGTATCCACTGACATGCCTCTGTGTAGCCCAGTGTGGGAAACAGTCAGCAAGTGTTGACTGAAGTTTCTCCTGATATCCTTGTGGGCTAAATGGAGATTTGGGGCCCAGACAAATAAACATTTGACTGTATTTGGACTTGGATGAAGAACTTTGACCAGAGTGTTAGAATGTGGATTGATGTTAACTTCAGGGGAGGTCTCTACTTTTGTTTGCGTTGTTTTCAGTATTTTCATCATTGACTTGAATGAGCACATATTTAGCACATTTGCAAGTGAAATAAAACTGGCACAACAGGCCAGATATTGGTAGCTGGGTATGTAGACCAACCAAAGTGGAGTGTGTGTGTGTGTGTGTGTGTGTGTGTGTGTGTACAGCCATTTCCCTCTCCTTCCTTGCCTAAAAAAAGTTTTATTTGGGCCTGCACCAATGTGCTGAGGTCAACGGGCCCCTCCCTCAGCCCCCAAAGGATGGATGAATCATAAATGGTCTATTATACCATCCTCTTCAGCCAGTGCTTGACTTAAAGGTTGGCTGTGATACAGTTCTGGCCAAGGAGATGTCAGGGAAATTGTGCTGGGAGCAGAGTGCCTCTGGGAAAGGTTTTCATCCCTATTACAAAAAAGAATGATTTACGAGCTCAGAGCTTTGGTTGCCCCTGGGTGGAGTTGGAGGTGGCGGCAGTGGTGATGACTGACCAGGAAAGCGTCCAAGGGGCTTTCTGGGGTGATGAAAATGTTCTGTAGGTGTACACCAGTGTATGCATTTGTCAGAACTCATTCAACTGTATACTACTTATGCATTTTACTGTATGTAAATTATTGTTTAAAATTTTAATTAAAATAAGAGAGAAAGAAAGCAGGCTTCCGAGTCAAGATGCCCACCCCTCCCATCCTGCTTTCGGATGTTTCATGTACAGGTACAGTGCTTGGAGCTGCTGCCACCATCTTTTGCCCTTGATGAATGTATCACTGACACACTGAGGTTGGCAGCTAAAGGAGGAAAAAGGCTCAGTTCCTTACCACTGTTGATCCAACCCTGAACACGTGTATTGCTGGGCTTCTAGTTGCATGAGGGAAATAAATTCCTCATAGTATAAACTACTTTTAGTGGAATATTGTTTCTTGCACCAAACGCATCATATCTGATACAATCAATATAATTAGAAAGTCCTATACTTAGGTTCATAAAATGATTTACACAAATGATTTACATAAAATGATTTACACCTCCTCCAAGAGGAGACCAAAATTAATAATAGTTAAATTATTATATAAATAAATTAATTAGAATCATCCATGGGTTTTAGTTAATTCCTAGCACGATATGAGATGTCAGCGTGATGTGATTGCCAAAAACCCCACAAATTCATTCACCCAGTACAGCAATAGTATCCAGAATAGAGAATGTGTCTCAACGCCCTTGGTGTAGGTCAGGCAGTATCTGCACTATCATATCTGACTCTGAGAACTACGTTCTGACTCGCCTGACAATCACCACTGGTCCTCATTTATTCTCACTAAATATATGTTTGCCTGGGTGACTATCTTTTGCTTCACTTACCATGCTGCTGATGACTTCTAAATCATAGCTCTAGCCCCAACCTATCAGAAGAGCGGTAGAGCCATGTTTCCCGCTACCTATAAAAAGCAATACTGGTACCTCACATTGCTCACACCCAAAACATCATCTCCAAAACACTGTCTGTGTTCTGTCCTTTCCAAGCTTAGTTTGCCAGCCCCCCGCCTGCCAAGCTAGAATCTTGAGTTTATCCGTAATTAGTCCTCCTTTACCATTCCCACTGGGACTCGTATTCTATCTTAGACATATCTCTTGAAATGAGTGTCTTGTGTCCACCCACCACCACTGCTTTAGGTCAGGCCCTTACCACAGCCACACAATTTCAATCTGTTCTCTCCCACTTCCAGGCTCACGCCCTTCCCACCAGTGACAGAATGATGTTCCTAAAACACAAACCTCATAACATGTTCCTGCCTTGAGTAAACAGATATTTTGCTGTTGTTGTTTTGCTTCCCACCCTTTTGCTGACATTATGCCATTAAGACTCCTTTACTTGGAATTTAGGCCATTTACACTCTATCCCCAAACCAAACTTTTGCCTTGAATGAATGAGTACTTGAATGAATACTGAATGGTTGTCTTCTTCCTATTTCTTGGGCCTGTCTTCATTCTCCTTTGAGGACTTTTCCTTCTTAGAATTAAATATTATTTCCTGGGCCATTCTTAGGTCTTCATTCCAGAGTTCTGCCTGGCAAACCACACGTACATATCCAACTGCCTAGTTGTCATTTGCATCTGCATGTCCCACGGATTTTCTCCTCATCTTTCCTTGCCCTGGAAGATCTAATGCTCCACTGGATTCTGGGGCTTCATGAATGGCCCATTTATCTATACAATCGCTCCAAGTTGGTGTCCATCAATCACTAAAACCTGTTATTTCTGCTTAAGTATCTCTCAGTCTCTCCCACCCTCATTAGTGCTTCCTCATCGCCTCTCATCCAGGCAAGAGAATTCTACACCTGCCTCATTATCACAGTCACCTGGTGACCCAGACTTACTGAGTCAGAAACTCGTGGCAGAGCTCCAAAACCCGTATTTTAAAAGGCTTCCTTGGCAATTTTAATAGCCAGATTTGAGAACTGATTGATCCTTGGGAGACTACCGCAATAGCCTTCTCATTGGTTTCCCTGACTCTAGTCTGCCCTTGACGCCATCTTCCCTCTTCTGCTGCCGAAGTTACTCTCTATCATGCAAATATGAACATGTCACTTCCCATATCAAA